CAACACTATCACACCTCGGATGATTGGGAAGACTCAAACTGAATGAAAAGAGAAGTGATTTGTGCAAAATTTATTTTGCTGATGATCAGATGATGAAAGTACTTTCCAACAATAGATAATCAACAACATATTATCAAATTCAATATTCCAATATGAATAATCTGGATTGTGTACCAGTCATAAGAAAGCTTTTGGGTAATCAGAGACGACATTTGTAATCACCAATTGTCCAAGCATCTATGCTCAAACAGAAGTTAACTCTTCGGAAAGGTGTATTAAGCTCATCAGAATTCTCGAATTCTGAACCACAAAACACCAGCGGAAGATTTTCCAATGACAACGTTAAAGGAATCTAATTCATTGAGGAATATTGACAACTAACATTCTCAATAAAAAAGTTATTGTCAAAGAAATATTAACATCTATTGGACTGACAAGAACAATTTCATTTATTAAACCTTTTGAAGTCAGTGGACTTGTTTCAGTAGTAAGATCTCTAGCTTCAATTTGATTAGATTCGGTTGCCCATGGTGTTACCAGATTCTTGCCTTCTCCTTCTTTCTTCTTCTAACACAAACAATGATTATTGAAATAATGACAATTGAAGATAGGTCAATTCATTGAGGAAATACTCAATAATCTAATATATTCATGATAATCGGAACCAGAAGTTCTGACAGCTGGCATGTCAGCAACACAATTCTTCAATTTCGAGTTAATTAAAGTTTCCTTAATTAAATCCATTTTCTTAACTTGATCTCTTGAGAATAATGAAACAGTTCTAGCAACCATATTATTCAACATGTTGGATAACATTGTAGAGGCGCTATTCAATGAAGATTCGACTTCTTCGTCTTATAAATTGAGTTTCGCATAAGCGGTTTAGACAATTGACTTGAAGTACAATTTTCCTCATTTTCAATTTACTAAAGTATGCTTTGATAATCTTTGCGCCAATTTCGGTCAACTGTCTTTGCCGCATTTGTATGTGGATTCCAAAGATTGGAAAACTCTCAAGGCAGAATCTGGTTGCAGACGAAATGGCAGTAGGACTTGTGATAAAATCTTTGTAGTTCCAAGTCACATTATATGATTATTCAAATTCAATATTGACTAAAGTTGAACAATGCAGATTGATAAAATAATCCTTAATCTTAATGAAAGAACTTCAATTTGCAAAAATTTTAAATATCATTCCAATAGAACATTGGAATAATCATTTAATTCCAAATGTTAAATTTCCTCTTGTTTTCCTTATTGATATCAAAGGTTCCCTTCTTCTTTCCAGATTCTTCATCAATTGATCCACCCAATCCACCACAACAGTACACAACCTTTGTTAAATCATTTGGCAACTCAATATTCAACTTTTCAGCTTGAGCTTTCATGGCTTGTTCTGTTAAAATCTTTTCCAAAGAAATTGAAATATTCCATTCACTGGAAAAATCATAGACATAATCAATACTGTCAACACTTCTATTCAAAACCGAGTCCAATCTACATTTCGATTCTTCTTTTCCTTCCTGACACATACTTCTATCTGTGAATTCGCCTTTACAGGTGTGAAACATGTGCAAGTGACCATCATCCCAATCAAAAGCATACATGAGTAAATTGTGTAAATGTCGCAGATTAGCATTCTGAACTGACAAACACATTACTCTATTAAATTTGTTTCTTGGCAAATCAAATTTAACATTAAAATAAACTCCTGATTGACCAGAAGAGCTACTTGCTGATTGACCACTTTCCATTTTCTGCTTCTTCTTCTTTGGCTCAACCACTTTCTTCACAATTTTAGTTTCCTCCTCACTTTCGTCACTTTCCTCATCAATACCTTCCTCTTCCAACATTTCCTTCATGTACATCTCCATTCGTTTCTCAAACTCTTCCTTTTCAGTTCTATCGCCACTATTATATAATTCTTCTTCGCCATCTTCGTCATCAGTATAATCACCATCATCATCGTCACTGTAATAATCATCATCATCATCATCATCATCACTCCCTTGTTTGTTGGCTAAGAGTTTTACCATCTTTTCAAAGTAGGCATTTGCTTCTTTTTTAGTGGGGAAGGGAGCAGACTTAATGTTCGGAGTTTTTGTTTTTTTTGTTGTTGTTGTTGTTGTGGAAGAT